ACTCTTCCTACGCTGACGACGTGGAGACTCAGCGCTCGACTCAGGGTTACTGCTTCAGTCTGGGAGCTGGTGCTGTGTTGTGGAGGTCTACACGGTCGTCGTCTGTGGCTACTTCCAGTGCAGAGGCAGAGATCTACGCTGGTGCCATGGCGGCACAGGAGCTTTGCTGGTTGACCTTCTTGCTTGCCGACCTTGGTTAGCGGCCTCGCTCTGCACCGACCTTGTACGCTGACAACAAGGCCATGATCCTCCTCTGTCGAGAGCCTTGACTGGAGAGCAGAGTGAAGCATATTGACGTGAGGTACTTCCTCCTGCGAGAGCTGCAGCGATGCGGCCAGGCACGCCTGGACTTTGTGGCCTCAGAGGCCAACACTGCAGACGTCTTCACCAAGGCCCTGGCGCTTGGTGACCACCACAGGTTCAGTGTGCAGTTGGGGCTTGTTGAGGTAGGCCCTCGGTTGCTGTAGTCTTGTTGCTTGCTCTGCTTGTTGTACTTTCCTATATATATCCTAGTGAACTCTTGAACTGGCCTTGTGGCCGCTTGCCTGCGCTCGGAATTTGTGTGGTGTCCTTGAGATCCACCCTGAGCTTGCTTTGCTTCTTGCCTTGACTGGTCTTGTGACCGTTTGTTCACCTTGCTTGCTCTGATGTCCCTCACTTAGCCTATGGGGGTGTGTCAAATGTTAATCTTGTGATAGGCTGTAGTGAGGTACTCTCTAGTGAGTACAACTTTGGTAGGTTTCCTATTTGTATCCTTCCCAACCCTAATTCAGTCATTCCGTTGCATTCTAACTTTGAGACCATGGACGCTAGGCACTCTGCCAGGGGTGAGCTGCCTGCACATGGTGAGCGGGCAAATCATTGCATCCTCACATTCTGGGACGTGTAATTGACTTCTTCGCCACTCCGGGACTCGGCGTGGACAATGAAGAGAGTTCTCGCATTCCACTATCCACCGGATGGCGCAAGAATGGCGATGTCCGAGAACCATTCCCCCCATGGACTCGCCTTTACAAAGTCCACTTTGCCACTAGGTGACTGCCCTTCGTCCTTGTGATGGCAACAACAGTGTGCACCTGCTTGCACAGGCAGGAGCGGGGAATGGGACGGACATGGGGGTTATATGGTGATATATGGTGATTTAGAAATCAAGCCGATGTTATGGTTTGTTTGTGAAATAGACGCATATGTGATGGGCTGACCAGAGCATCCACTCTTTTTTTTGTTGCTCACCTGTAGGCGATGTGACACGATGCCCTCTGTGGCGAGACGAGGCACTAGCTCGTCCATGTCGGGGCCCATGACAGTGCAATAAGCCCCCATGGACGGGCCCTCAAGAATTGTCGGGAACATGTCGCGGCATTTACGCATGAGCACATGTTCTTGCCGCCTCACTGCCTGCCACTGGGAATGGCACACAACATGGGGCGACGACTACGGAGCATTTTATATAAATGCCACATCACCTGACCATGCTGTCTTTATGGTATAATTTATGTAGGGCGGTCATATACCCACCTCTTTGAGTGCGGTGACGAAGCATATCCTCGTCCCCGACATGTTGTACGTCCCGGGTGCGCAGGCGAACTTCCAAACACGACATGTCCTTCGGAAGATTGAAATTGCCTTTAGGCTGCATGCGAGGCTGTACACGCGGGCAGTGGGAATGAAGACTCAAAAGCTGGGCACCTCGGGCAAGGCTGAAAAGTTTAGGAGAGCTGCCAACAGGGAACAACACCTTTTGCAGCGCATCAAGTCAGATGACGACAAGAAATGACAGTGGTTGTCGAGTTTCTCCTTTATACGGGACAACCCAAGGGCGGTCCTCAATCCGCCCTAGAAACAACCTCGAGGTGGGACAAGGCCTTAGCCCCTATGTATAGTTACGCCTGCTATCGTCTCATACACTTGCCCTCTTCGGTGTATGTTTCAGTTACCATAGAGCCAAAATACTGTCGGTGCCGAAAATATTAAGTGAAACAAATAGAATGATATAGAAAATGGAATAGTATTCCGATTTAGGTAAAATAAAGTGCAAATAAAAGAGAAAAATATGGAGAATAAGATAAAGGAAAATTATGGAAATAAGAATATGTTAAATGGCAGCGCACTCTCACACGCTGCTCCTCATCTCCGTGCCATGCGGCTAGCCCCTGAGGCTGACCTATATGCTCTTGACATCCCGACCCCTCACACATACCCTGAAGCAGTCTCGCGATGCTGGACCTCTTAGTGGATAGCATCCATGACATCTTGAAGGTCCACATGCACTTACATCGACTCAGTTCCCCCTTGGGTGAACGTTGACAATGGCATCTGGATATTCAAGGTGAAGCGCGTCAAAGTACAATCTCACTTGTAGGCTATAGTGGGGCACTCCTTATGGGGTACATTACTTCTAGGGTTAGTACTTGTACCCCAACTCTTGCTAATCCAATCATTCATGCACACTTGATTCTGACATGGTATTTAGAGCAGGAAACCTATTAGATTTTTAGGGCCCACCGATCGTTCCGCTAGCTCCTGCCCGAAGCGCCCTTGCGCTGTCCGGCCCTCTTGCACAGTGTCACGCTGCTTTGCAGCTACTCGCACTGCCTGCCCTAGCGCGCTGATCTACTGTCATGCGTGCCCCTGCTGCCCGCGAGCAGCCCCTGCCCCGCGCGCCCCTGCTGCCCGCGAACAGCCCCTGCCCCGCGCGCCCCTGCTACTTGCGAGCAGCCCCTGCCCCGTGCGCCACTGCTGCCTGCGAGCAGCCCCTGCCCCGAGCGCCCCGGCTGCCCGCGAGCAGCCCCTGCCCTGCGCGCCCCTTCTGCCCGCGAGCAGCTCCTACGCCAGCACGCCCCGCAGCCTAGCGCGCCAGCGCGCCCCGCAGCCTAGCGCGCCAGCGCGCCCCGCAGCCCAGCGCGCCCCGCAGCCCAACGCGCCAGCGCGCCCCGCTGCTAAGCGCGCCAGCGCGCCCCGCAGCTCAGCGCACCAGCGCGCCCCACTGCGAAGCGCGCCAGCGCGCCCCACTGCGAAGCGCGCCAGCGCGCCCCGCAGCCCAGCGCACCAGTGCGCCCCGCAGCTCAGCGCGCCAGCGCGCCCTGCTACTAAGCGCGCCAGCGCGCTCTGCAACCCTAAACGCGCTAGTGCGCCTTGCTGCCCAGCGCGCCACTGCTGCATGAGCTGCTGCTACTGCTAAGCGCTGCTGTTGCTGCTCCTACTGCTACTGCAACGACTGCTGCTACTACTGCTGCTGCTGCTCGTGCTGCCACTGCTGGCACTACTGCTGTTACTGCACTAGCCTGTGCCCTGCTGCCCACGCACTCTACTGGCCTCCACAGTCACTACAGCAGTCGCTACTGCTGCCCTTGCGCTGCTGCTACTGACTGTCACTGCCTGTCATGGCCACTATCACGGTAGTCACAGCGGCTAGGGGTGGACAGCAGCAGCCACAGCCTCTCCCGGACACGCAATCCCCGCAGCAACTTTGCGAGTGGGTTATTCAGCGAGCCCGTCCAGGTGGTGGAGGCTTTGGTTTTCTGCGTACTGCACAGCGGCGGCAGCAGAGTCAGCAGGAGACATTCTCCCCGCATCTGCATAGTGAGTTGTTTTCTCAGCGATGTGTCCCTGGTTCTGGGTCTGCTGCCGCACTAGGTGCTTGTGAGTCTGCTGCCGCTCCAGGTGCTAGTGAGTCTGCTGCAGCTTTAGGTGCTCGTGCGTCTCCCGCCACAGGTCCTGCCTCAGCTGAGGCCTTGCACACTTTCACACTTGACTCAGGCGCGTCACGTTGTTTCTTTCGTTACTGCACCACACTCACACCACTTGCTGCACCGGTACCAGTCTCACTGGCTGACCCCACTGGGCGCCCAGTAGTCGCACGAGCCTCCACTGTCCTCCCGTGTCCAGCAGTCCCCTCCGGTTCTCTGTCAGGTCTCCACCTCCCCACGTTCTTGACGAACTTGGTGAGCAACGCTTGTCAAACTTATATGCTATAGTCTGTGTAGGTTGTAGTGGGGTAGTTCATATAAGGTACAACACTTTTAGGTTTCCTACTTGTACCCACCTGCTTGCCAGTTCAGTCATTCGTTCCTTCACTATTCTGACATGGTATTATGAGCAGGTTCCCTCGTGGGAACATTTTTTTTAGGGCCCACCATGATTAAAACCTTTTTTTCTTGCCCTGCCCGAAGCACGCCTCGCGCCTGCCTCACCTGCGCCGTCGCGCGCCCTGCCCTAGTGCCGCCCGTCGCAGCCCTGCCTTCTCGGCCCGTCGCGGCCCTCCCCTAACGGCCCGTCGCGGCCCCCTGCCTTCTCGGCCTGTCGCGGCCTTGCCCTGTCGCCACCTCGTCGCGGCCCCGACCTAGCCGCCTAGTCGCGGCCCTGCCCTGCCGCCACCCGCGGCCCTGCCTTGCCGCCCGTCGCGGCCTACCCTAGCCGCCCGTCGCAGCCCTACCCTGCCGCCCCTCGTCGCGGCCCCGACCTTGCCGCCCGCCGCGGCCCTTGCCCTGCCGCTGCTCGTCGCGGCCCTGCTCTACCACGCCCAGCCACGGCCCTGCCCTGCTGCCGCCCTGTCGCGGCCCTGCTCTGCCGCCGACTCGTCACGGCCCTGCCCTTCAGCCGCCCCAGTCGCGGCCCTGCTCTACCGCCGCCAAGTCGCGGCCCTGCCATGCTGCCGCCCCAGTCGCGGCCCTGACCTAACCGCCAGCTGCGGCCCTGCCCTGCACCCGCCCCTGGTAAGCACCCACGCCGCCCGGCCGAGCCGCGCCGCCCTGCCGAGCCGCGCCGCCCTGCCGAGCCGCGCCGCCCAGCCGAGCCGCGCCACCCAGCCGAGCTGCGCCGCTCTTTCGAGCCACGCCGCCCTGCCGAGCCGCGCCGCCCTACTGAGCTGCACTGCCCTGCCCGCACTGCTCCTGCTGCTACTGCTGTTTCTGTTCCCACTGCTGCTACTGCTGCTACTGCCGCTATGGCTAGCCCTAATGTTCTTACCTTTGATGCTGAGGGGCGTGCGGTTGACTTTGATGTGTGGGTTGACGACATGCAGCTCTTTCTTCGGTGTGACTCTAAGGACGGAGTATCCCTTTTCGATCACACGTCCGGTGTCTCTCCTGCACCTGCTGCCACTGCTGACAGTACGGTTCGCTCGCAGTGGACCACTCGTGATGCTGTTGCTCGCCCAGCTGTTCGTAGTCACCTGCCGTCTGCTGAGCGCGGCGCACTTTGGCCAGTACAAGACTGCTAAGTCTTTGTATGACGCTGTCGTAGCGCGCTACTCCTCCCCTGCCACTGCTGCCCTCAGCCGCCTCATGCTTCCGTACCTGTTCCCTGACCTTGCCGCCTTTGCTACAGTCGCTGACCTCATTACTCACCTCCGCACTAGTGACGCCCGCTACCGCGCTGCGCTTCCCACTGAGTTCTGTGCCAAGAACCCCCCCCCCCATGTACATCACCCTTTACTACCTAGTCACCCGTCTCCCTGACTCCCTTGCTTCAGTCAGGGACCACTTTCTCTCCCTTTGCCCCACCGAGCTCACCGTCGACCTGCTAGAGGAGCGCCTCACTGCAGCTGAGAAGAGTATCGTTGCTGTAGGTGCTTCTCGCGGCGACCCTCGTGCCCCTTTCTTTGAGGGGTGTTCCCCTGTCCCCCTTCTCCCCTCTGTTGCTTCTGCTGGTGCTGTCGACCTCGTTGGCACTGAGGAGGTCGGGGCTGCGTCTGCTCCTAGTGGGAGGCGCCGCAACAGCAAGGGCAAGGGGGGCAAGGGTGGTGGAGGGGACGGTGGGGGCGGCGGTGGAGGCGGTGGAGGAGGCGGAGGGGGTGGCGGTGGAGGTGGGGGTGGTGGTGGGAGTAGGGGCTTCGGTGGCGACGGTGGGGGTGGTGGAGGCAGCGGCAGCGGCGGTGGAGCGGCAGCGGTGGTGGAGGTGGTGGCGGCGGTGGTGCTGGTCGAGGTGGAGCCGCACAGCGTGGAGGCTTTGGTGGTAGCCAGCGCCAGCAGCAGCCGCGTTCCCGTGAGACCCCGTCGGCCTAGCAGCTTCGTGAGTGGTACGCTGGGCGTGGGAGGTCTGGGGGTGCTGGTCCCTGCACTTACGTTCTTCGCACCGGCGGGCGCCGTGGGGAGACGTGCGGGCTGCCACACACTACAAAGCGCTGCTTCGGTCGCCTGACTGTTGCCTGGCGCGCCCAGTTTCCTGACGATGTTGAGCTCCCTCGCTGGGGTGATCTGCTTAAGCAGAATGTGGCTATCTTTGATCTTGATTTCGATGCTATCCTTGCTGCCATGTATGCTGTGACTGATAGTGCTGAGGGTGACTGTTACCTGTGTGTACCGCCCGACCCGGGCATTGAGGCTGCTGCTCTAGGTGCTAGTGAGTCTGCTGCTCCAGGTGCTGGTGAGTCTGCTCTCTTTGGTACTGCACCTACTGAGGCCTTGCACACTTTCACACTTGACTGCGGTGCTTCGCGCTCTTTCTTTCGCGATAGCACCACACTCACGCCGCTCAATCGGCCGGTCGCAGTCTCCCTGGCTGACCCCTCTGGGGGTCCAGTCCTTGCTCACTCCTCCACGGTTTTACCGTGTCCTGCAGCCCCGTCAGGCTTGCTGTCGGGACTCCACCTCCCCTCGTTCTCTACGAACCTGGTGAGTGGAGCTGACCTCCAGGACGTGTGGGTTGACCAGTTCACCCCTGGAGGTCAGCGTGTGACCCACTGCACTTGCTCTCGGACGGGCCGCCACCTGGCCACGTTCACCCGTCGGCCTGGGTCGAGTCTGTACACACTGACTACTGCGTCTCCTCCGGTTGCTGCGTCTGGTCAGGTAGCCGCGTCTGGTCAGGTATTTGCTGCTGCGTCCAGGTCTAGTCCGGCGTCTGCCCCCTGCTCGTGTCGTCCTCTGTCACACCAGACTCTCCTTTGGCACCACCGCCTTGGTCACCCCTCCCTGCCTCGTCTTCGAGGTATGGCCTCCCGTACCCTTGTCTCTGGTCTCCCCCGGTCCCTCCCTCCCCTTCCTCCGGGGCCTGCGCCTACCTGTGTTCCTTGTGTCGAGGGCCGGCAGCACGCCGCTCCTCACTCCTCCGAGTTCCCTCCGACAGAGGCTCCCCTGCAGACTCTCCACATGGACGTGTGGGGCCCAGCCTGTGTCCGTGGACAGGGTCACGAGCGTTACTTCCTACTGGTCGTTGACGACTACTCGTGTTACACCACAGTCTTCCCCTTGCGCCGCAAGGGTGAGGTCACTGAGGTGTTGATCGACTGGATCCGCGGTGCCCATCGCCAGCTCAGCGAGAGTTTCGGCTCGGACCTTCCTGTTCTGCGTCTGCACTCAGACAGAGGTGGTGAGTTTTCCTCCGACCTTCTGAGGGCTTTCTATCGTGCGGAGGGAATCCGCCAGACGTTCACGCTTCCGGCCTCCCCACAGCAAAATGGGATTGCTGAGCGCCGCATTGGCATGGTCGTGGACGTCGCTCGTACGTCCATGATCCATGCGGCTGCTCCCCATTTTCTGTGGCCGTTCGCGGTTCAGTACTTTGCGCATCAGATCAACCTTTAGCCTCGTGTCTCCTTGCCGGAGACCACACCTACTCTGCGGTGGACGGGGAAGGTTGGCGATGCGTCTGTGTTCCGTGTCTGGGGATCTCGAGCTTTTGTCCGCGATTCTTCCGCGGACAAGCTGTCCTCCCGTGCTGTTCCCTGCGTCTTCCTTGGCTTCCCCCCTGACGCGCCTGGGTGGCAGTTTTACCACCCGACCACGCGTCGTGTTCTGTCCTCTCAGGACGTCACGTTTGACGAGTCGGTATCTTACTACCGTCTCTTTCCCTACCGCACTGCCCCTCTCCCCCCCCCGCCGCTCTTCCTAGCACCAGGTGCTCCTCCGGTAGACCCCCTCCCCCCTCAGGGTCCTGCCCCCTCAGGTGTGTCCCAGGTAGACCCTATCGAGCCTGTTGAGGTAGCTGTCGACTCTGGTACTGCTAGGGGTGCTGAGCCTGCGGGTGCGGGTGCGGGGCCTGGGGGTGCTGAGCCTGGGGTTCCAGAGTCTGGGGGTGCTGAGCCTGAGGGTGCGGAGCCTGGGGGTGCTGAGCCTGAGCGTGTGGAGCCTGGGGGTACTGAGCCTGGGGGTGCTGCGTCTGGGGGTGCTGAGCCTGAGCGTGCTGTGTCTGGAGGTCCTCCGGGTGTCTTGTCACGGCGGGAGTCCCTCTCTCCACAGCAGCTGCGAGAGTGGTACGCTCGGCGCTGTCGCCGTGTTGCTGGAGGTGCTGGAGTTGGAGCTGCTGGAGGTCCTGCTGGTGCTGGAGCTACTGGGGGCACTGGAGCCGCTGGTCCCGGAGGTGCTCGCACTGGAGTTGCTGGAGCTACTGGAGTTGGAGCTGCTGGAGGTCCTGCTGGTGCTGGAGCTGCTGGAGGTTCTGGAGCCGCTGGTCCCAGAGGTGCTCGTACTGGAGGTACTGGAGCTGCTGGAGCTGGTGGTGCTGCAGGAGTTGGAGCTGCTGCTGCTAGAGGTGCTACTGGTGCTGGAGCTGGTGGTGCAGCGGGAGTTGGAGCTGGTGCTACTGGAGGTGCTGCTTGTGCTGGAGCTGTTGATGCTGGAGGTGCTGCTGGAGCTGGAGCTGCTAGAGGTGCTGCAGCTGGTGGTGCTGCGGGAGTTGTAGCTGGGGACCCTGGAGCTGGGGGTACGGGTGCTGTCTCTGCTGGTTCTGGAGGCGCTGCACGGCCGCGGCCGTACTACGTTCCGCTCCTTCATCAGGTTCTTGGCCTCCCGCCTTCTACTGGTCCTACTCCTCCCTTACTGAGTCCACCACCTGTCCAGTCGCAGTCGCAGTTACAGCCAGCCTCTCCACTGCCTGGTCCTTCTCCTTACTCTGGACCGACTAGAGGTCTTACGGAGCGTCGTGAGCCTGAGTCTCGTCCTGCGTCACCTGAGTCTCGTCCTGCGTCGCCTGAGTCTCGTCCAGAGTCGCCTGTTCGCGCAGTCCGCACTGGTCGTCGTGTTCCGCGTCAGCGTCCTCCTCCTGTCCCCAGCACTCACTATATGACTCTGCGTCCTTCCACTGCTCCACAGCGTGTCCCTCTGCCGTCTCCTCCTGCGTCCTCTCTTCCTGACGGTCCGGACCCGGAGTCTGACTCCCTTCGTGCTGCTAGTCCTACTGTCACGCGTTTCCTGGCCACTGTTGTCACTGACCCTTCGTTTGAGTCCACTGCTGCGTCTGCTCTAGTTGCTGAGCTTGTTTACTTTGCTGCCGCCTGTCGTCTAGACTACGCCGCTAGCCTTGTTGCTGCGTCTGAGTCTGAGTCTGTCTGTCCTCCATCCGTCGGGGGTGAGTGTGCTCTTAGCACAGACGTCCTTGAGGACAGACAGGAGGAGTTTGAGTGCTTTGCCGCTGCTTTACCTCATCTCGTGTCCATGCTGCTTGCCCCTGAGGGAGACCCGGATGCACCAGACATCCCGACCCCGCGCTCTTACGCAGAGGCGATAGAGGGTCCCTACTCCTCTTAGTGGCAGACAGCCATGGACACAGAGATGGCTTCCTGGAAGTCCACAGGCACCTACGTTGACGAGGTTCCCCCGCCTGGGGCGAACATCGTCAGTGGCATGTGGATTTTCAGGATGAAGCGGCCACCGGGTTCTCCGCCTGTCTTCAAGGCGCGTTACGTTGCACGAGGCTTCAGTCAGCGACAGGGAGTTGACTTCTTCCATACCTTCTCCCCTACCCCGAAGATGACCACTCTTCGGGTGCTGCTGCACGTCGCCGCTCAGCGTGACTACGAGCTTCACTCTCTTGACTTCAGCACTGCTTTCCTACAGGGCAGCCTGCACGAGGAGATCTGGCTGCGCCGCCCACCTGGCTTCACTAGGTCGTTTCCTGCTGGTACCCAGTGGAGCCTCCGGCGGCCAGTCTACGGTCTCCGCCAGGCACCCCGTGAGTGGCACGACACACTGAGGACGACTCTTGCTGCTCTTGGGTTTGCTCCTTCTATTGCTGACCCATCACTGTTTCTACGCACCGACACCACTCTGCCGCCGTTCTACATTCTCGTGTACTTAGACGACTTGGTCTTTGCTACTGCTGACACTGAGGGACTCGCCCACGTGAAGTCGGAGCTGCAGAAGAGACACACGTGCACAGACCTGGGTGAGCTGACAAGCTATCTTGGCATGCGGATCACCCGGGACAGAGCACAGCGCACCATTTCCTTGACTCAGTCACACATGGTGCAGCAGGTCCTTCAGCGCTTCGGCTTCACATACTCCTCACCACAGTCCACTCCTCTGCCTACCGGTCACTCGCTCTCAGCTCCACCTTCGGACGAGTCTGTAGAGCCGAGTGGCCTGTATCCAGAGCTTGTGGGCTGCCTCATGTACCTGATGACCTGCACTCGACCTGACCTTGCCTACCCTCTTGGCATCCTAGCACGCTATGTCGCTCCTGGCCGACACAGGAAGGAGCACATGGATGCTGCTAAGAGGGTGTTGCGCTACTTGTGCAGTACGTCGGGCATGGGGCTCATGCTTGGAGGACGGGCTCGAGTTGTCCTCACTGGTCATGCAGACGCTTCTTGGGCTGACGACTTGGCTACGCAGCGGTCGTCACAGGGTTACACCTTCAGCCTTGGCTCCGGCTCTGTTTCTTGGCGGTCTACCCGCTCGTCTTCTGTTCTCAGCTCCAGTTGTGAGGCTGAGATCTACGCAGGGGCCATGGCTGCACAGGAGTTACGCTGGCTCACCTACCTGCTGATCGACCTGGGAGAGCCGCCTCGTTCTCCTCCAGTGATGTACGTCGACAACAAGGCCATGATTGCCTTGTGTCAGGAGCACAGACTGGAGCACAAAACAAAGCACATCGCTCTGCGCTACTTCCTTGCTCGAGAGTTGCAGCAGCGTGGTCAGCTTCGTCTTGCTTACGTGGCCACTCGGGCCAACACTGCTGATGTCTTCACCAAGGGGCTTCAGCCTTGTGATCATCAGCGTTTCTGTACTGTTCTAGGCCTTGTGCCTACTGTGCCTCACTTACTTACTTCTTGACTCTGCTTGTACTGTGATCTCTATACATATACCTGCATGCTTACACTTGCTAGGTTGTGATCACTGTATTGCTTGTTCTCCTTTATATAACTCTGCATGTGAACTGGCCTTGTTGCCATTTGCTTGTGCTGAGAATGCGTGGTGACGTCGTGATCCACCCTGAGCTTGCTTTGCCTTTCTTGACCGGTCTTGTGACCTCTTGTTCTCCCCCACTTTGCCTATGGGGGTGTGTCAAACTTATATGCTATAGTCTGTGTAGGCTGTAGTGGGGTAGTTCATATAGGGTACAACACTTTTAGGTTTCCTACTTGTACCCACCTGCTTGCTAGTTCAGTCATTCATTCCTTCACTATTCTGACAACGCTGCCATTCAGGATGTCTGGGTTGATACCTTTATTCCTGGAGGGCAGCGTGTGGCGATCTGTACGTGCTCCCGGACTGGCCGTCTCCTTGCTACGTTCACTCGACCGCCTGGTTCTAGTCTGTACACAGTGACCACTGCGTCTGCACAGGTGGTTGAGTCAGGTCAGGTGGCTGCGTCGAGTCAGGTGTCTGCGTCTGGTCAGCTTGCAGCGTCTTGCTCATGTCGGGTACTCTCCCATCAGACTCTCCTCTGGCACCACCGCCTCGGTCACCCCTCCCTGCCGCGTCTCTGCAACATGCACTCCCGTCTCCTTGTCTCTGGCCTTCCCAGGTCCCTGCCCTCCCTCCTGCGCTCGCCTGCCCGCCGTGCCTTCCCTACGTTGAGGGGCGGCGGCGCGCCGCTCCTCACTCCTCCGAGTTTCCTCCGACCACTGCTCCTCTGCAGACTCTCCACATGGACGTTTGGGGCCCGGCCCCCGTCGGTGGAACGGACCAGGAGCGCTACTTCCTGCTGGTTGTTGACGACTACACACGCTACACCACTGTCTTCCCCTTGCGGCGCAAGGCGGACGTCAGCGATGTTTTGATCCCCTGGATCCGTGCTACTCGTCGCCAGCTGCGCGAGCGGTTTCGTCAGGACTTCCCAGTCCTGCGTCTGGACTCTGACAGGGGCGGTGAGTTCTCTTCTTACCTCCTTGCGGAGTTCTGTCGAGACGAGGGCATCCGCCACACGTTCACGCTTCCGGCCTCTCCTCAGCAAAATGGGATTTCTGAGCGTCGGATTGGCTTGATCATGGAGGTTGCTCATACCTCCATGATCCATACGACTGCTCCCCATTTCCTGTGGACGTTTGCGGTCCGATACGCTGCGCATCAGCTCAACCTCTGGCCCCGTGTCTTTGAGCCAGAGACCTCGCCCACATTCCGGTGGACGGGGGCCCTAGAGTGGGTTGGAACCATAAGCTTGTGCATCATGTTATAACTTAAACCTCATATATGACTCTGTTTGGATCCTGGTGTCTTTCCAGGCTGTTTGAACTACTGTTGTATTTTATCTCTCACTCTTGTAGGTTTCTATAGGCAAATTCTGGGATATGGCATTCATGATGTCTCTTATTTCTAGTTTTTTATTATGTATGTGTTTATCTGCATTGCCAGTTAATAGATTGTAATGTGCAATTTCACAGTGCTTGAAACGGTCAAGGCACGCCCAAACCTGTTCATGATTCTAATGAATACAATCAACAGGGGGAGACACTGCCGACCTATGCACGGACAATGTTTAAATCATCATTCCCATAAAATGAATGCTCGAGCTATCCTAGAACACTCCTGCAGCTTCCCCCTTTGTACAAGCATGCTAGATAATTGTTCTGAGGGATGCTTTCGGTCGCTTTTTGGAACGGAAATGGATGTGACGGCTTAGTCAACAACCTGCTATTTGTGCTCATCGTCGCACCAGCCGGAATTGCCTTACGAGTCAGCGGCAATACGTGCTTTGCCTAAATTTCCCTCTAGAATGTTGGCTCATGTGATGCTTCTTCTGCACGAGAGTGGGTTCGATATTTGGGTTTGGGATTGAGGAAAGAAAAGCCTTGGGTATATGGGCATGTGATTGCATCCGCTACGGATTCGCGTGAAAAATAGGTGTTGCACATTTGTAGAGGGTGGTCGACAATTTGTATTCAGATCCGAAATTGTGCTTTCACATTCGTCTAGATGAATTTCATTATCATCTATCGCGTGGTATGTGTACAAGTTAGCTGGTGGAACATGTTTGCATTCTCATTATCATGTTTGCAAAATAAAATCATATATTTGTTTTGCAATTAAAGCTTAGAAGTAAGACAAGGTGTGCTAGAGGACGGTCAATTTTACTTAAAAAAGAGCAAACAAAAACAATATGTACACACTCAATCCAACAATAACCAGTTCTCGCAACATTTTTAAACATTCTATTAAGCCAGCAGCAATGAGCTCAGTTAATAAACACATGCATAAGGGACAGCGTAGGAAATACCATATCATGGTCCTCCAATATGTGGAATTACTGCTGTCAGACATATATGACTTAGCCTGTGTAGGCTATAGTGGGGTAGACACTAAGGGGTACAAGTTTCTAGGGTTTCATATTTGTACCCAACACTTTCCTAGTTCATTCATTCCTCATTTCTTCACATGGTATAGAGCGGGTTCCCTAGTGGGACCGTTTCTTCCTTGGGCCCACCTTCGAAATTTTTTTTAGCCTGCCCTAAACGCGCTTCGCGTCCTGCCCTAAAACTTCGCGGCCCCCCTTAGCGGCCCCCCTTCGCGGCCCCTTTGCGGTCCCGGTCGCGACCCCTTAGCGGCCCCGCGGCCCCTCTTAAGGCCCTTCGCGGCCCCCTCACGGCCCTTCGCGGCCCCTTCGCGGCCCTTCGCGGCCCCCCTCTCGGCCCTTCGCGGCCTCTTCGCGGCCCTTCGCGGCCCTTTGCGGCCCCCCTCCACGGCTCTTCGCGGCCCGCCGTAGCCGCCCCTGCCGCCCCCGTTGCTGCCGCCCCAGCAGCAGCTGCCGTCGCGCCTACTGCCGCTGCCGCTTCCGCCACGACCGTTCGCCGCCGCCGCTGCTGCCGTGACAGCCGCCGCCGCTCCTGCCGTGACAGCTACCGCCGCTGGCTGCTGAGACAGCCGCCGCCGCCACTGCCGTGGCAGCCGCCGCCGCCATCCCGGCCCTGCCCTGCAGCCGAGTCGCGGCCCTGCCCTGCCGCCCTGTCGCGGCCCTGATCCTGCCGACGCACCTCGGCCCTGCCCCACCACTTGCGGGCTTCTACCCACCCGCCCCTGGTAAGCGCACCGCCGAGCCGCGCCCCTCCTGCTGCTGCTACTGCTAGCCTGCTTCTGCTGTTGCTGCTGCTAGCCTGCTGCTGCTGCTGTCATGGCTAGTCCCAACGTTCTTACCTTTGATGCTGAGGGTCGAGCGGTAGACTTTGAGGTCTGGATAAATGATCTGCAGCTTTTCCTGCAGTGCGATAGCAAAGACGGCCTCTCACTGTTCGATCTCACGTCTGGTGCCTCTGCTGCCCCTGCTGCTGATGCTGCTAGTACTGTTTCGCTCGGTCTGGACCACGCGCGATGCTGCTGCCTCGCCTTGCTGTGCGTAGTCACCTGCCCTCCTCTGAGCGCGCGCACTTTAGTCAGTACAAGAGTGCTAGCACTCTGTACACTGATGTTGTTGCACGCTACTCCTCCCTTGCCACTGCTGCCCTTAGCCGCCTCATGCTGCCGTACCTGTTCCCTGACCTAGCCGCTTTTGCCACAGTCGCTGACCTCATTACGCACCTCCGCACTAGTGACACCCGCTACCCGCGCTGCGCTTCCTGCCGAGTTCTGTGCCAAGAACCCCCCCCCTATGTACATAACTCTCTACTACCTCATCACCCGGCTCCCTGACTCCCTCCGTTCGGTCAGGGACCACTTCCTCTCCCTCTGCCCCACCACGCTCACCGTTGACCTCCTCGAGGAGCACCTCCTTGCAGCTGAGAAGAGTATAGTCGCTGTAGGAGCCTCTCGTGGTGACCCCCGTGCCCCTTTCTTTGAGGGGTGCTCCCCCGTCCCTCTTTTGCCTTCTGTTGCCTCTGCTGCTGCTGTCGACCTCGATGGCACCGAGTCGGTCGGCACTGCGTCTGCCCCTAGTGGCAAGCGCCGCAACAGCAAGGGCAAGTGGGGCAAGGGGGGTGGAGGGGGCGGCGGGGGGCGCGGTAGTGGCGGTGGAGGAGGAGGAGGAGGGGGTGGGGGTGGAGGTGGGAGTGGTGGCGGGACTGGGGGCTTAGGTGGCGGCGGTGGAGGTGGAGGCGGCGGAGGCAGCGGGAGTGGGGGTGGAGGTGGCGGCGGCGGCGGAGGAGGTGGGGGTGGCGGGGGTGGTGGTGGGCAGCGGGGAGGCTCTAGCGGTGGCCAGCGCCAGCAGCAGCAGCGCTCCCGTGAGACCCCGTCGCCTCAGCAGCTACGTGAGTGGTACGCTGGCGTGGGAGGTCCTGGGGGTGCTGGTCCCTGCACCTACGTTCTTTGCACCGGCGACCGCAGTGGAGAGACGTGCGGAGGCCCGCACACCACACCACGCTGCTTCGGCCGCCTGACTGACGCCTGGCGCACTCAGTTCCCTGGCTCCTCGGAGATCCCTCGCTGGGATATTCTGCTTAAGTCGGGGGTTGCTATCTTTGATCTTGATTATGATGCTATCCTTGCTGCTATGTATGCTGTGTCTATTAGTGATGAGGGTGACTGTTACCTGTGTGTTCCGCCCGACCCGGGCATTAAGTCTGCTGCTCCAGGTGCTGGTGAGGCTGCTCCAGGTGCTGGTGAGGCTGCTGCTCTAGGTGCTAGTGAGTCTGCTGCTCCAGGTGCTGGTGAGGCTGCTCTCTCAGGTACCGCGTCGGCTCAGGTCTTGCACACTTTCACCCTTGACCTCGGGTGCCTCCCGCTCCTTCTTTCGCGACTGCACCACCCTCTCGCCGCTCAGTCGGCCGGTGGCAGTCTCTCTGGATGACCCCTCTGGGGGACCAGTTGTGGCCCGTTCCTCCACTGTCCTCCCATGTCCTGCTGTTCCGTCCGGCTCGCTGTCTGGTCTTCACCTCCCCTCGTTCTCTACGAACTTGGTGGCGGGTGCTGATCTTCAGGATGGGGGTGTTCACCAGTTTCACCCCTGCCCACCAGCGTGTGACGCACTGCACGTGTGCTCGGACGGGTTGTCACCTGGCCACGTTTCACCCGTAGGCCAGGGTCCAGCCTGTACACCCTTACCACTGAGTCTCCTCCTCGTCAGGTAGCCGCGTCGGGTCAGGTGTTTGCTGCAGTGTCCTGGTCTGGCCCTGAGTCTGCCCCCTGCTCGTGTCGCCTCCTGGCCCACGAGACTCTTCTTTGGCACCACCGCCTTGGTCACCCCTCCCTGCCTCGTCTTCGAGGCATGGCCTCCCGTGTCCTGGTCTTGGGTCTTCCTTGAGTCCCTCCCTCCCCTTCCTCCGGGGCCTGCCCCTACCTGCGTTCCCTGCGTCGAGGGTCGGCAACGCGCCGCTCCTCACTCCTCCGAGTTTCCTCCAACAGAGGCCCCACTGCAGACTCTTCACATGGACGTGTGGGGCCCAGCCCGCGTCCGTGGACAGGGTCACGAGCGTTACTTCCTGCTGGGCGTTGACGACTACTCGCGTTACACCACAGTCTTCCCCTTGCGCCGCAAGGGTTGAGGTCACTGAGGTGTTGATCGACTGGATCCGCGCTGCTCGTCTCCAGCTCAGAGAGAGTTTCGGCTCGGACTTTCCTGTTGTGCGTCTGCACTCAGACAGAGGTGGAGAGTTTTCCTCCGACCTTCTGCAGGCCTACTGTCGGGCGGAGGGCATCCGCCAGACGTTCACGCTTCCGGCCTCTCCACAGCAAAATGGATTGCCCGAGCGCCGCATTGGCATGGTCATGGATGTCGCTCGTACGTCCATGATCCATGCGGCTACTCCCCATTATCTGTGGCCGTTCGCGGTTCAGTACGCGGCGCATCAGATCAACCTTCAGCCCCGGGTCTCCATGCCGGAGACCTCCCCCACTTCTGCGGTGGACGGGGAAGGTTGGCGATGCGTCTGCGTTCCGTGTCTGGGGATCTCGAGCTTTCGTCCGCGACTTGTCGGCGGATAAGCTGTCCTCCCGTGCCGTTCCCTGCGTCTTCCTTGGATTCCCCCCTGACGCGCCTGGCTGAGCGGTTTTACCACCCCACCTCGCGCCGTGTTCTGTCCTCTCAGGACGTCACGTTTGACGAGTCGGTTCCCTACTACCGTATCTTCCCCTACCGCACTGCCGCCCTCCCCCCCCCCGCCGCTCTTCCTCGCGCCAGGTCCTCCCCAGGTTGACCCCCTCCCCCCTCAGGGTCCTGCCCCCTCAGGTGTGTCCCAGGTAGACGCAGTCGAGCCTGTCGAGGTAGCTGTTGACTCTGTGCTGGGTCTGGGGGGTGCTGAGCCTGAGCGTGCGGAGCCTGGGGTGGCAGAGCCTGGGGGTGCTGAGCCTGGGGTTGCTGAGTCTGGGGGTGCTGTGAGACTGGAGGTCCCTCCCGAGTGCCCCCCGTTGCGGCGGGAGCCTCTCTCTCCACGGCAGCTTCGTGAGTGGTACGCTCGGCGCTGTAGCCGTGCTGCTGGAGCTAGGGGGCCTACTGCTGGAGGTGCTGCTGGTGCTGGGGCTACTGGAGGTGCTCCTGGTGCTGGTGCTGGAGCTACTGGAGGTGCTGCTGATGCTGGTGCTTGCTGGAGGTGCTGTTGGTGCTGGAGCTGCTGGAGGTGCTGCTGGTGCTGGACCTACTGAGGTGCTGCTAGTGCTGGTAGCTGCTGGAGGTGCTGCTGGTGCTGGAGCTACTGGAGGTGCTGCTGGTGCTGGAGCTGCTGGAGGTGCTGCTGGTGCTGGAGCTGCTGGAGGTGCTGCTGGTGCTGGACCTACTGGAGGTTCTGCTGGTGCTGGAGCTGCTGGAGGTGCTGCTGGTGCTGGAGCTGCTGGGCCGCTGGCCCTGGAGGTGCTCGTACTGGAGGTACTGGAGGTGCTGCGGGAGTTGTAGCTGGAGACCCTGGAGCTGAGGGTACTGGTGCTGTCTCTGCTGGTTCTGGAGGCGCTGCGCGGGCCGCAGCCGTACTTCATTCCGCTCTTTCAGCAGGTTCTTGGTCTCCCGCCTGCTACTGGTCCTACTCCCTCTTTAGCCTGTCCTCTGCCTGTCCAGTCGCAGTCACAGTTACAGCCTGCCTCGCCACTCCCTGGTCCTTCTCCCTACACTGGTCCGACAGGAGGTCTTACGGAGCGTCGTGAGCCTGAGTCTTCGTCCTGCGTCGCCTGAGTCTCGTTCTGCGTCGCCTGTTCGTGCTGCTCGCACTGGTCGTCGTGTTCCGCGTCAGCGTCCTCCTGCTGTCCCCGGCACACACCGGATGTCGCTTTCGTCCTTCCACTGCTCCACAGCGTGTCCCTCTGCAGTCTCCTCCCGCGTCCTCTCTTCCTGACGTCCCTGACCCGCCGTCAGACCTTGCTCGCGCTGCCAGTCCTACTGTCACGCGTCTTCTCGCTACTGTTGTCACTGACCCTTCCTTTGAGACTACGTCTGCGTCGGCTCTTGTAGCTGAGCTTGTCGACTTTGCTGCTCACTGTCGTCTCGACTACGCCGCTAGTCTAGTTGCTGAGTCTGAGTCTGTCTGTCCTCCGTCCGCGGGGGTGAGTGTGCTCTTGGCACGGACCGTCCTTGAGGACAGGCACGAGGAGTTTGAGTGCTTTGCCGCTGCTTTATCTCATCTCGTGTCCATGCTGATTGCCCCTGAGGGAGACCCGGATGCACCAGACATCCCGACCCCGCGCTCTTACGCAGAGGCGATAGAGGGTCCATACTCCTCTCAGTGGCTGTCAGCCATGGACGCAGAGATGGCTTCTTGGAAGTCCACAGGCACCTACGTCGTCGAGGTTCCCCCGCCTGGGGCGAACATCGTCAGTGGCATGTGGATTTTCAGGGGTGAAGCGGCCGTCGGGTTCTCCGCCTATCTTCAAGGCGCGTTACGTTGCACGAGGCTTCAGTCAGCGTGAGGGAGTTGACTTCTTCCAGACCTTTCTCCCCTACCCCGAAGATGACCACTCTTCGGGTTCTGCTGCACGTCGCCGCTCAGCGTGACTACGAGCTTCACTCTCTTGACTTCAGCACTGCTTTCCTACAGGGCAGCCTGCACGAGGAGATCTGGCTGCGCCGCCCACCTGGCTTCACCTGGGTCGTTTCCTCCTGGTACCCAGTGGAGCCTCCGGCGGCCTGTCTACGGTCTCCGCCAGGGCACCCCGTGAGTGGCACGACACACTGAGGACGGACTCTTGCTGCTCTTGGGTTTTGCTCCTTCTACTGCTGACCCGTTCGCTGTTTCTACGCACCGACACCACTCTGCCGCCGTTCTACGTTCTCGTGTACGGTAGACGACCTGGTCTTTGCTACTGCTGACACGGAGGCACTCGCCCAACGTGAAGTCGGAGCTGCAGAAGAGACACACGTGCACAGACTTGGGTGAGCTGACAAGCTTATCTTGGCTTGCCGGATCACCCGGGACAGAGCACAGCGCACCATTACCTTGACTCAGTCACACATGGTGCAGCAGGTCCTTCAGCGCTTCCGCTTCACGTACTCCTCGCCCACAGCCCACTCCTCTGCCTACCCGCCACTCGCTCTCAGCTCTGCCTTCGGATGAGTCCGTAGAGCCGAGTGGCCCGTATCCAGAGCTTGTGGGCTGCCTCATGTACCTGATGACCTGCACTCGACCTGACCTAGCCCTACCTCTTAGCATCCTAGCACGCTATGTTGCTCCTGGCCGACACAGGAAGGAGCACATGGATGCTGCTAAGAGGGTGTTGCGCTACTTGTGCAGTACGTCGGGCATGGGGCTCGTGCTTGGAGGACGGGCTCGAGTTGTCCTCACTGGTTCACGCAGACGCCTCTTGGGCTGACGACCTGGCTACTCAGCGGTCGTCACAGGGTTACACCTTCAGCCTTGGTTCGGGCTCTGTTTCGTGGCGGTCTACCCGCTCGTCTTCTTGTTCTCGGCTCCAGCTGTGAGGCCGAGATCTACGCAGGGGCCATGGCTGCACAGGAGTTACGCTGGCTCACCTACCTGCTGACCGACCTGGGAGAGCCGCCTCGTTTCTCCTCCAGTGATGTACGTAGACAACAAGGCCATGCTGGCCTTTGTGTCAGGAGCACAGACTGGAGCACAGAACGAAGCACATTGCTCTTCGCTACTTCCTTGCACGTGAGCTGCAGCAGCGTGGCCAGCTGCGCCTTGCTTACGTGGCCTCTCAGGCCAACACTGCTGATATCTTTACCAAGCACTTCAGCCTTGTGATCATCAGCGGTATTCTGTACTATGTTAGGTCTTGTGCCTACCTGGCCTCACTTGCTTACCTCTTGACTTTACTTGTACTGTGATCTATATATACCTGCACCTGCATGCTTACCCTTGCTAGGTTGCGATCACTGTCTTGCTTGTTCACCTGATTTATAATCCTGCATGTGAACTGGCCTTGTGGCCGTTGAACTTGTGCTCGGAATGTGTGGTGACGTTGTGATCCACCCTGAGCTTGCTTTGCTTTGCTTGACTGGTCTTGTGACCCCTTGTTCTCCCCCACTTTGCCTATGGGGGTGTGCAGACATATATGACTTAGCCTGTGTAGGCTATAGTGGGGTAGACACTAAGGGGTACAAGTTTCTAGGGTTTCATATTTGTACCCAACACTTTCCTAGTTCATTCATTCCTCATTTCTTCACAACTGCTACAATAATGTCTTTTCTGCTTGTCAAAATCTATATATATTTAAAGAATGCGTCTCTTCAAAAACTGTTACGGGTTGCAATTGAACGAGTGAGTGAAGATTGCAATATTGAGTCAAACGAGTACGAATGTGAGCAAATATTTATAGCAAAACGGCAAACAGGAATGCAGTGCGTGCGAGCTAGCTAGTGCGATGCTAGCCCCGAAGCGTAGGCCGACCCGGCCAAGTCCAACGGTGCAAGGTTTGGCAAAAGTGACGCGCGAATGTGGCGAACACGGTTAGCAGTAATGGGTGAAGAAACTGTCCGTCTTGTATGCGTTGCTGAGGTGCACAGTAAGGAATGTCGAAACAAACCTTACACTTCCCCCCTCTTCAAGAAGCCCCTCCACTAAGCGAGTGCGTGTATATCGCGGAATCCCCGGCTTCGCAGGTACACTTGGAGGACATGGTGCTTTTCGATGCTGCCCAGGGGCACCCTGCTGTCTTCGGTTGGGGTGCGATCTTTCCAGCGGACGAGGAATTCGATCCTCCGAGACCCTTGGGGGTGACGAATCCAATGGGTCTGAATTTTCTCGGGGTCGACGACGGGCTTTGATGCCGGACGAGTCGTCGAGGGTGGTCGGTGGCATGGCAGTTCGCTTGTGGTCGGGATGTACTGGCGAAGTAAACTGACGTGGAATGACGGGCTGATGTACCAGTCGGCAGGTAACAGGAGATGGGCGGTGACGGGCGGGAGTAGGTTCTGGGTGTCGAGCAGAATGTAGTCTCCTGAATGGTATGTGACGGGGCGGCGATGGCGGTCAGCGTTTCTCTTAGTGATGACATTCTCTTTTTTAATTGCCTACGCTGCGCGTGTTCGGGCATTCTCCAGAATCTCAGCGAAATATTGCGCTCGTGGTGTCGGGTTGTCCGGACTCGGCGTCATGGGCACTGTAGGGTTCTGCCCATAATTTAGGTAGAACAGCGACTACTGTGTGGTTGCTGACGTGGCATTGTCGTAAACGAACTCTTTCAACGGCAACTGCTGCTCCCCGTTTGCGGGGTCGTCACACGTGGCACAAATCAGTTGCCCATGGTCTGGTTCGTTCTCTCGGTCTGTTACTGGGTCCAGGGGTGGTAGGACGAACTGAATAGTGGTCGGGTCCCAAACTGCTCCCAAAGATTCTTCCAAAAGTTGCTTGTAAACTTCGTGTCCCTGTCGCTGATGATTGCTGCTGGTATCCCGTGATGGCGAACGACGGATGTGATGAACAGGTGAGTGGTTTCTTGGGCCGAGATCGGTTTCTTGCACGCAATGAAATGAGCCATTTTTTTCAGTATGAACGACGACCATGACCTTGTCGTTACTACCGGGGCTTGAAATCCATGGTCACCTGCTGCCAGGCTCGTTCGGGTGGCGGAATTGGTTGTAATTGACCGCCTTCTTCCGCGGACTTTTCATCACCTGGCACGTGGGGCACGATCCCACGTGGTGCTGCACATCGGTCAACAGTTCCGGCCAGTAATAGTACCGCTGTAGTTGTTTTCGCGTTTGTTTCTACCCTGAAATGACCCGAGGTAACCCCGTCATGTGCTGCTTGCGGTAGTAAATCCCGTAGCAGTGAATATGCTGGTACCCAGATGAAGTTGGTTCCGGTCTTACGTAATAAACTCCCTTAGCCTCCTGTCAGCTGCTGCGAATTCCCAGTGGTGAAAAATGGATCGATGTGGTAGCCGTGGGTGAATGGTCCGGTCAGTAGCGGGTTGGATTGGACGAGTAGTATGCCGTGTAGTTGGGACGTGGGGAGGGTGAGGGCGTCGGCGATGTTCGATGCACCTTTTTTTTACGTTACTGTATAGTGGAAGTTGGACTCCATATAGCCCAACAAGTGGATCTATCGTGGGTTAGTTTCGGTTCGGCGCGAAGGTACTATAGCGAGCGATGGTATGTCCGTACGGTCACGTCTGCTCCTATCAGGTAGCACCGCCACACCTTGAACGCGTGCACGATGGCAAGCATCTCACGATCATGTATCGGATAATTGCGATCGGGTGGATGAAGTTTGCGGGACTCGTACGCGATTGGCTAAAGGCCGTTCCTGAAGTTCTGCATCAGTACGGCTCCAACGGCGATGTTACTTGCGTCGGTGACAAGCTCAAACGGGTGGTGAGGATCAGCGATGTGAAAAGGCACAAAATTTCTTTTAGGGCAGAAATGGCAGCTTGCTCTTTCTCCCCCAAGTGTACTCAACCTCCTTCCTCAGCAGGTCGGTCAGCGGGGCAGTCAGCTTCGCC